AGATGGGTGGATGAGTGGATGGATAGATGGATGAGTAGATGGATGGATGGGTGACTAGGGCAGATGGATGGATGAGTGGATGGATGAATACATGAATGGATGGGCAGATGGATGGATAGGTGATGGATGACAGATAAGTGGACAGATGGTTAGATGGATGGAGGGACAGATGGATGGGTGACTTGGGTAGATGGATGAATAGATGAGTAGGTAAATGGATAGATGGGCAACATCAGTGAGTCAGCAGTCTAATATTTCTTCCTTTCCTTATGGAAGAGAAATTGACTTAATGGATATAGAGGTGCTTTGACAAGAGAGGTGCTCTGTGAGTGTCCCTGTGGTGACATTTTTGGGTCTCTGGGTTTCTCTTAGCAGCCTCACCAGCTACTCACTGTGTGGGAATGGGATTTATGAGGCTGCTTCAAATCCATGTGCAGAGGGGCATCTGGGTGCCTCAGTTGGTTAAACGTCCAACTCTTGATCTCAGCTCAGGTCTTGATCCCAGGGTCATGAGTTCAAGTCCCACGTGGGGCTCCGTGCTGGGTGGGTGGCCTAAATAAAAAAAAAAAAAAATCCATGTGCAGAGTCCAGCAGGCTTGCAGTTTTCAAGATCACTAATGTCCTTCCTCTTGCCTGCATCAACTTGCTGATTTCTGCTGAGCGGGTTTTCTGGGGCATGGCTTTGCCACAGGAAGCATGGCTGCTGAAGCTGTTCTGCCTGACTGAAGCAAGTTTTCTGGAGTCTACATGAGCTCATCACTGTGCACTTTTTCTTGCTTTCTTGGGCATTCTCCTTATCTCTTTGTTGCTCTCATAGGCTAAAGTGGTCAGTTTAATTCATTAGCCGAATTATTGAAGTGAAAGTTTTCAAATGTGTATGTTTAAGTTGTGTCTCCTTAGAAACAGGACAGTTGGATATCCAGTTGGCAATTCTTCAGAGTTTGTCCTGACGCACCCCAGAAATGCTGAGATTTCAATCACTTCTGGTTTGTTCCTGTCACAGTCAGTGCTGTGACTAGCAGTTAATCATTATTTGATGAGGCCAGGGTGGGCCCTTTGGTCAGGACTACCTTCACCTACTCCCTGAACTCTCCAGGCCATTGCCAGCTTCTCTCTTGGTTGGTGTTGGGCAGAGGCAGCCATGATTTGATTTAACTTCATTTATGACAACTCTAAACTGGGCTGAGAAAATTATAGCTCTGAGGAATATTTTTTTTTTGAGGGTGTAGAAACCTGGCTTTATCAATTGTGAAAGAAGATAAGATAAATAATGCTAAATAATTCAGAGTCTCTTCATAATTAATTTTGTATTCATTTTCCCTGAGTATTGGGAGAGACAGAAACCATGACATTCCAATCTCACTTTTTATGAACACGGAAGAAAAAAAAATTCTTTGATGTACAAATTCATGGAAAACCAATACTTGTAAAATAATAAAAACCGGAGGCCACAGAGCAGACCTCCGGTAGGAATAAGACATTTAAAAGGGCAACACAGGCAACTACTCAGTTGCCACCTCTTAAACTAAGGCTGTGTCCTGAGGCAAGGTCATTACTGAAGTCTCCCCAGGAATGGGAGTTTAGGGGCTTTGCTATTGAGATTAACAAAAGGACAGACCCTCCCCACCCACCCCCACCCCCGCCACTACCACCACCAGCTTTTCCCCACGCCCACCCTGGAGCTACCACATTTGCCTAAACAAGGCCCTAATTGTTGGACTTGGCGTATTTTCTGGATGCCAAATACCTGGAAGGCTTTTGAGCCTTTTTCTCCACAGCAGGATGGACAGTTTCAGTAAAAGGCCTTATTACTACAGAAAACCATCGTTGGCATGTTTGATGCAGTTGAATCCATAATGATTTGGCTTCCTTTGTTATCTCGATTTGTTTTCTGCTGGTAGAAGAGCCTCCTTTAATCACGGAGTGTTGACAGAAGAGCATGAAGGGTTGTTTACCGTCTGCCCCTCCCATTTGTAATTAGTCTGCCCCAAAGTGCCTTTTAAAGAAAGCAAAAGTTCGTTTTTCTCTTCCTCCCCGATTGTTAGACAGAATTATGTCTTGCACATAGTCACATTTTGAGTTACTCTTGGTGAAATACAATTGACTTCCACATAAAAGCAAGAATGACTATGTTTGCCATCAAGTAGGAGGCCAGTACAGCCTTTCCCCATCCACTGTCTGAGGCCAGTTAATAAAAACAAGCCTAGCATCCGGCCACAGAGCCCTGCATGTCCCAGTTACACAGACGACATTAGTAAACTGCATGGAACTTAGTAAAAGCTTCAAAAGACTGAACGAGAACCCTTCTTTTCTTCCCATGGTTCAACAAAAACCAAAACCTCATTTTACAAGCAAAGCCAGGTCTTTGATTTTCATATAGTTTCTCTGAAATCCAGAAATTTGGATGAAGTAGCATTAAGGCCAAGCCAAAACTTAACCAAAGCAGCCGTCACCTTGCCAAGGACACTTATAACCTCCCCGTGTCCCAGCATGACACGTGGGCCTCTCCTGCTCAGCCCAAGGGGAGGCGCCTGTGGATTCTTCACCTCGGGCTCCTCCTCAGAGCCAAGGATCGTGGGCTGCTATTTCAGATGCCAGAGAAAACACAGAGCATGCTTCTGTTTCATACCTGCACACAGTCATAAGAGGGAACATGCATTACCCTTGTTAGTGGACCAAAGAGAAGAATTTAAATGAGACATTACGTAGTCAAATATGTGGCTTTGGTGTAAAACTGCAAATGTGAATACTCGTTGACTAGGAAAGGTAAAATGGCCTCGCTCGTGTACTAATGGCCACCAATACTTTTTCAGGGCCCACAGCCTGTCACCTACAGATCACCAAGCAGCTTTCTACCTGGCTCTGCAGCTTGCCATCTCCAGACAGGTCAGTTTCTCTCATGTTCCCTAAACTTGGTGCACGCTCTGTCTCCATGCAATTCCTTCAGCGCCTCTGTGTGAGGCAGTAGCTTGTCTTCTCTCATTCACCTGAGACGGACCTGGAGCCGGGGTCTCTTCTGAGGGGATGGTGACTCCTCCCAGCACGGCCACCAGCGTTTTGGTCAGTTTGAGCCTCTGCTGGGAAGATACCGGTATCCCAGGTTCTGCTTTAGGAGATTAAGTCCACAGATCTGGAGGGTTCAGAGGGCAGCATGGGATGCAGCACATGGCATATGCCCGGAGCCCAGGAGTCCCCAAAGAGCCTTTGTCCCTTGCTGGCGGGCCCAGTGCTGAGCTGCATGGTAGGGAATGAGCCCCCAGTTGTCATAAGGAAGATGCCAGCAGGCAGGGGCAAGAGGTACCCGCTTCCTTTATAACATGTAGAAGATAGGGACCATCTCTCCTTCAAATACGGGACTCAGCAGCATTCTCCTTGCTGGAGAGGCAAGCTCTGCTGGCCTTCATCTTCCCAATGGCAGCTTCCAGAAGCTGCCTTTGCCATTCTCATCCCCTTCCAGCTGCTCGGAGGCTCTGGCCGCATGCCTGCCTGACCACCAGGTGCAAGACACTGGTGGTAACCCCAGCACAGTCCTGAGTGCTGACTGGAGGTGAAGCAAAGATCAGCCCCTGAGACATGCCATTCCCCGGGCAGGCCCGGGCTGTAGGTCTGTCTCTGACTCCCCGCAGGCCTGGGAATGGCGTGGAGGAGTGACTTCCAGTGGTGACCCGGGGCCTGAGGAAACCAAGATGCATCCTCTGTACAGGCCCTGTGGCCTGGCATGGTGGGGCTCACAGCTGGACCAACGGGGAGCTGCTGCTGCAACAGCTCTGCACTGGTCCCCCCTCCCCGGGAGCTTCTCTCACCTTCTTCGCAAAGCCTTCTTCGTGCGGCGGCCTGCCCTTCTTCCTCCTGCTCAGCTCTCCTGTTCAGGATCTGTCTTCCTCCCTAGACTTTAGGTTCCACGAGGGCAGAGGCTCTTGTCCATCATCCTCATCGCTTTACCCCGGCAGCTGGAACACTGCCCGACAGGTGTTAGGCATTGGGTAATGCTCGTTCAACGAAGGAACTAGCTCGGAATTCCTTCAAGTCAGCTAGCCCTTGAGGAGGGCTGGTCACCCCTGCAAATCAACACCATGAGTATACCTGCCTCTCCACCCTCCTTGTAGCAGCAGGCTGAGTGCCGTTCGTTCACAGAGTGGGTGGTTGCCCCGAGGAGAGGATAAGTGAATGGGGCCTTATGGGTGCTGCCACCATCTTGGTGGGCCCACAGCATAAGGCCTACACTCTGTGGGACTGTGTCCCTGCTGGGCCGGGGCCGGGGCCCTCTTACCTTCAGAACCAGTGCCGTTTGAGCAGGAGAGGACAGGAGCGGAAGCAGAAGATCTAGTGCCACTCTTGTCCCAGTCACTCAAAAGCTAGATGGAAATGCTCAAGCCTGTCACCCCCCGGGACTCGGCTTCCTCCCTATAAAGGAAGGGCTGGGCTGGACGAACCCTCTGCCGGCTGTGACCCCCCTGATGCTGTGGCTCAGTGGCAGAAAGCCTCCGTAGCCAGCAGTTAGAACTTAAATCCGTCAAAAATAGGATTTCAGAGAGGAAAACGAATAGGTTTGGGAAGTCGTGGCTTCTTGCTAACAGAGTGAGGTCCCTGACGGCTGAGAAGAGGTAGGAGAGCAGAGGACAGATCCAACGTGGGGACTGGGTTTGGGGGCTGGAGACAGGAAGGAGTCCCTGGGGTGGCTGTGTAAGAATGCTCCGAGCTCTATTTCGAAATCCAGCGTCAGGTTCTAATTCTTCCTGGTCACTGTTGAACCTGCATGGCGTCTTGGGATCCATCATGTATGCATTTTATCAACCCTGGTGCCTGGATGATTTTGAAGAAAGTCTTGAACAGCTCTTGCATTTTAAAGGTTAAGGTTGTCTCTGGTCCTGTTTGAATTTGGATACATCTGTCTTGTATGTGGCATTGCAATTTGTTTCTTGGATGGCATTATTTTGGGTTGTAGTTTGGAAAGGTGTGGGGTTTTGTTTGTTTGTTTGCATATTTCCTTGATGTCTAATGGAGTGTCCGGGACGAAGGAACTTTGGAGAGACTCACAGGTGTCTGATCGTTTGGAAAGCTCTGTTTACGGTTTTGTAACTTACTGTGTACTTTGGTTCGGTAGTACCTTAAACAATGAGAACAGTTCAGCTCAGGCAGTTTAATTCCACTAAGAACCTCTGGCAAGTTGCATGTGTCTCCATTGAGAGTGAAAGTATCTTGGGCACAATCAAGAGTGCATCAGTTTTGTGGAAAAGAGAAATTGTGTTTTAGGGAGAAACAAAAGATTTGGTATTGGCAGTCTTACAGAGAGAAGCAGAGCCTCTTGCATCACTCCGTGGGTCACACTATCGCTTGAAGAGGACATCTGTTTGCATGTCTGTGGTTAATATCCTGGGGCTATCACAAAGATTAGGATCTGAATGTGGCACAGGGTGAAATGACTTTTGATATTTACAGAGAATCAGTTAGTTATTGAAGTGGTAGCTTCTCTCATGTGTGCGTGCGCACACACACACACACGCACATGCGCGTTTTAAAATTCTTTTTGATTTTGTTTTAAACCAGATCCCAGAGGCTCTGGGGTACGTCCGCCAAGCTCTTCAACTTCAAGGTGATGACGCCAACTCCCTGCACCTCCTTGCCCTCTTACTCTCTGCACAAAAGCATTACCACGATGCTCTGAATATCATTGACATGGCCCTCAGTGAATATCCGGAGAATTTTATGTAAGTGCTCCTACTCAGAAAGCTACTCACTTTTACTCCTCCCCCTTCCTTCATTCTGCTTTAAGTCCTGCACAGATATCCTGAGGATAAAGAGTACAAACTTGCCTTATTCTTGTTTTTGCATGATATTTGGAAACAAACATAGCCTGTCGGGTCACCCTTATTAAGTTAAAAATACCTTATCGCGTCTTTCCCAATGTGTACCCTTGGTGCACACTAAAGATGGATTTTAGATGGATGGTGGATGAACATTTTTACTGTAATAGTTTTACATTTTTAAATGTACATTAGAAAAAAAATATACCTGCGTATCAAAGTGTGATTTGACAGAAATTATTGGTCAGAGGGAGACGACAGGTGTTTTTAAATGAGTTGTCTTAAAGTCAATTCGAAGAAAAACATTTTCCTATTTTGTTGGCGACTTCCACCAAGGTACCTGACCTCTTTGTGCCTTGGTTCGTTCTCTAGGAACTAAAACTCCTTAAATAAATCAGTTCATCTCTGTGCCTAAGAATTGCCCTTATAAGCTGCCATAGGCATGAAAGCTTATCTTCCCAACATTCCTCCAAATCCCTGAATCCAGGCCTGTCGGGGAGGCTTTGGGAGAAGGACATTGTCATGTGGGCGTCTCAGTTCCCATTTTATTCGCAGTGGAGTAGCCTGGTAACCAGGACACAGTGGCCAGAAACAGTAAACACTGTGCAGGCTGACAGCTTCTAATTGTCTAAGTGGCAGGGTCCGAGGTGGCGCGGGGGCGGTGTGGGGCGGGGGGCGGGGAGGGGAAGGATGGAGTGTGGGCAGGGGTTCAGAACAGCTCTCTTCACTTTGGGAAATCAGCGCCTTTGGCTTTATTTCTCTGCCTCATCACCTCACTGTTTTTAATCAGTGTGTTTCAGCAGCTCTCCTTAGAAGATTGGTTCACCCATTTCCATTACAAACATTTCTTTGTCTTCAAATGAAAAGGGCACTTCTGTTCTCCCCATCGAGAAGATTCTCATTATCATCCAGGAAACCTCTGACTAGAGATTTCTTTTGTCGGTTCAGCTATTTGTGCCAAGTGCATTAAAGAGCTTTGCTGCATGTTTTACTTCGTGCAGCCTCACACTTGCTCTGTTACACACCGAGTGTACTTCTGGGTTTCATCCAAAGCTGGTAAGCCCGTGGAATCTTCAAGCAGTCAAAGCACTTTACAGAGGACTCGGTCCTTTACCCATCAGCAAAGTACCTGATGCAATTGAATTCTGTTTCTCTCATCAATATTTATAAAGCAGCATTCCCTGCCTCCTACCCCTAACACCTTCATTAGACCTTAGATTCTAGCGTGTGTCTCCTGTGTAGACAGCCTGGGGTGTCATCGTAGAGGAGGGCTTATTAAACTAATAGCCACGCCACGCAGTGAGCAGTAAACAGTGGTGGCTAATATGGTAATGCTTCCAAGTGACAGCAGCTGACAGTCTTTTCAAGTAGAATAAGTAAGGAACAGCAGTAGAGATATTTGAGGAATGCGAGCCTGTTATTTTAATGTTAAGCTGTAAGCTCAAAAAAAGCAAAGCATATGGCAGCAGGTCTGAGAGCAGCCGATGACTTGTTTGCTTTTTAAATATTTGTATTTCTTCCTATGTGATGGGAAACTTCTTCCCAAGAATACTTTATTAAAAGTTGGGGCCAGATGTAGTTGGTGGATCCCGTGGTTTCTTTCCAAACCCGGGGTAAAACATTTCAACACCAACCTAAACAAGATGATGTGGGCACCTGTCCCGAATGTTGAGCAGTCGTATCTGTTTGTTTGTGACAGGCTTGTCTCCCGCAGAACCAGAGACTCTCGGAAGCCTGGGAGTGCCTGTTTCTTGCGTCCCATCAGCCAGACGCAGATTGAGGACATGGCTAATGTTTCCTCCATACCTGCCAGATGGAGGGGAGGGCCCTTGCCACAGTCGGGCTGAGGCCTGTTTAACTGTTGGGTAGTTCAACTGTTGAACAGAGAATTGATTTAGCTGGCCTGATGCCGAGAATCATAGACCCATTGGTTCCTGTTAGGTTCCCTCAAGGGAACTTTTATCATTTCCTGGTGACAGTGAGGATAATACTTGAGAGACCGGCTGCCCCTCCAAGGACATTGAGCTGTCTGAGCTAGAGCATCTAAGGCATTTATAATGGTAATCACTCAGTAGTTGGTAGGAATTCATATTATCAGGATGACTAGTACTTCTCCAGTGTTCTCAAATGCGATATTTTAAATCCTTTAAAATTGTTGTTATTAGATATTGAGCAAAAGCCAAAGGATACTTATTAAATATATTTAAAATAATAATACGACTAACACATACACCCGCTTCTTAGTTTAAGAAAAAGAAGACTAATATTGCCTATGAATTTCCCATGTGCCCCCGTGTCTCCTATCCCCTTAACCTCTCTAACATCTCCGAACATTAACCACATCGTGAATTCTAGGCGGGGCATTCCCTTGTGTTTCTATACCATAGATGTTCGCACTCCCAACTAATAAAAATTTCTAGTTTTGATTATTTAAGAATTTTTAATGGAATTGTGCTGAATATATCCTTACACTGCTTGCTTTTGTTGCTTAACATTACTAGGTTCCGGAGGTTCATCCTTATTGCACGCAGCAGCAATGTATTCCTTTACACCGATACATGGTATTTTATTATATAAATATACCACGGTGTGTTTTTCCAGGCTGTTGGAAATGGATATACGGGTTGTTTGCAGTCTTCAGCTGTTAGGAGCAGAGCTGCTGTAGATATTCCTGTACGGGTCTCCTGGCATACAGGTGCACGTACTTCTGTGGGTATTACCTGGGAGTGAGATTGTTGGGTCATATATGTGCCTCTTCCGTTTTGCCACATAATTCCAAACTGTTTTCCAAAGGGGCTGTGCCGCTTTGCACGCCCAGCGGCAGTGCCCAAGAGCCCGTGGGCTTGCACGCACCAACACCCCGCCCCCGTGTTTCAGACTTATTTTTGGCCACGTGATTGCTGGTTAATGGAGTTAGGTTGTGAGTTTAAGTGGCATGATGAGGTTGAACACCTTTGTCTCTCTATATTGGCCATTCAGCTTTCCTGTTCTGTGAAGCACAGGGAGAAGTCTTTCCTCTTTGCCAATTGGGTTGACTTTTTCATGCCAACTCGTAAAATTTCTTTATATATTTTGGTTACAAGGCCCTTTGTTGGTTATATGTGTTGCAAAAATCATCTCCTCACCTGTGACTTGTTTTCTGATGAACAGAAGTTCTTATTTTTAAAGTAGTTGCATTTATCAACCATTTCCTTCATGGATTGTACTTTCTGCATCTAGTTTAAGAAACCTTCCCTTCCCTTCTCCAGGGTCATAAAGACAGTCTCCTAAGTTATATTCTAAGAGCTCTTTTGTGTTACCTTTCACACGTACAAGGGTCCATCTGGAAATGATTGTTTGATGTCTGTATGGTGGGAAGGATTCAGTGTAGTGTTCCCCCACGTGGATACCCAGTTGTCCCAGCATCGTGTACTGGAAAGATCCCTTCCCTGTTGCTCCTCGTGCTACTTTTGTCTTAAATCAGATGCCCATATGTGGGGGGGGGGGGGGGGAGAGGGACGATTTCTGACCTTTCTACTTGGTTCTTTCAGTCAGTGTGCCATCTATGTGTGATTGCCACTTTCTGCATTCCTACAACTTTATTATATGTGAGGTAGGTCCCTCCCTGTATCTTGCTCCGAAAGAGTGTTGTGGCTATTTCAGGCCTTTGAGCTTGCGTATAAATTTTTGAATCAAGTTTGTCAAGTTCAACAACAACAAAAACATCTATCGGAATGACATTTAATCTAATAGCTCAGCTTGGGGAGAATTCTGTATTTGTGACAGTGAGTCTTCTAATCCATGGCCATTACATCTAATTATTTAGGTCTTTAAAAAATACTTTTTAATGAAGTTTTACAATTTTTCTTATTAAATATTTTGCCCATTTTTTACTGGATTTATTCCTAGTTACCTGAAAAAAATTTCCATTTGTATACACTATATGTATACAGTCTTTTTTTCTTTATCAAATTTACTATCTACTTGTTGCTAGTGTTTAGAAAGGCAGCTGAATTTTGTACATTCTTGACTCAACAACTCAGCTAAACTTGTGTAATTCTATATAGATTTATATAGATTTATATATATATAATATATAAGTGAATGGGGCCTTATGGGTGCTGCCATGTGGACTTTCTATACAAGACTTTTATCTGAAATAATTAAAATTTAGTTTCTTTATCCCTAATCCTTCAACTTTTTAAAACTGGCCTTACTGGACTAGGTTAGGACCTTCAATATAGCTAAATAAAATTCTTTCAGTGTTTTACCATTAAGAATTATGTTTGTTTATAGTTTTGTTTATAGATACTATTTAAGAAGTTAAGGAAATTTCCTTCTTCCTGGTTTGCTAAGAGTTGATCTTTTTTAAATCATGAATTGATACTGAATTTTATCAAATGCTTTTTCTATATTTGTTGAGATAATTGTATGGTTTTGCTCCTTTAACCTGTGAATGTTATATTGATTGATATTTTTAAATGTTAAATTAACCTTGCATTCCTGGAATAAGCCCAACTTGATGATGACATGTTAGCTTTTTTTAGTGGATTCAGTTTACTAATTTTTTAGGAACATTTGTATTTGTTCCTGTGTGAAATAGCTTGCAATTTTCCTTTCTCATTGTATACTTGTCAGGTTTTGGCATCAAGATTGGGCCAGCCTCATAAAATGAGTTGGAGTAGTTCTTTTGTGTGTGTTTTAGAATCGTTTGTGTAAGATTGGAATTATTTGTTTCTAGAATAATAAGTTTCGGTAGAATTTGCCTGTAAAACCATCTGGCACTGGTCTTTTTTCTATGGAAAGACTTCTTAGGCTTTTACAAAAATGATTATAGGATATTCAGGTTTTCTGCTTCTTTTATTAAGCTATGTATAACATAGAAGCTAAAATATATATAATATATGTATATATCTTAAGTGTTT